TTTTATCTTCTTGTTGGATTTTGTTCCCTTTACCAATATGAAGTGTACTTCTTTTTATCTTCTGATTAGTTTTGGTGTGAAATTTGCTTTTTCAGATGTGTCATAGCTATGCCTGATTGTTTTCAGTCTCCATTCACATGGTATATCAGTTTTCATCCTTCACTTTCAGCCTGTGGCTTTTTGCCTATATGGTGCATCTCTTGCAAATCACATGTTAGATCTTGTTTTTAATCCATTCCAGCAGCTTTTCTCTTTTAATTGGAAAGTTGAGACCATTTATATTCAATGTTATTAKAGAGTTGTTGATTAATTCCTGCCATTTTGATTTTTTGTCTGTTTAATTTGATCCTGTTTTCAATTGAGATTTCTTCTTCTGTGAGCTCTGAGGTTTGTTTCTATAATTTCTTCTGTGTGCAATATTTCTTTAAGTAAGTTCTATAGTGCCAGTTTAATAATCATGACAGTTATGGTCTCTCAGGACTTGGAACACATCATTCCAAACCATCCTGGCCTATAGAGTCGGTGCTGAGAAATCAGAAGTGATTCTGATTGGCTTGCCTCTGAATGTGACTTGATGTTTTTCTCTTGCAGCTTTTAAAATTCTATCCTTGTTCTGTATGTTTAGGCATTTTAATTATAATGTGTCATGGAGAGGTTCTTTTTTGATCTTGTCTATTTGGGATTCTAAATGCCTCCTTTATCTGGATGTCCATCTCATTCTGAAGGTTTGTAAAGTGTTCTGTTATTATTTTCCTGAAGAGGTTATCCATTCCATTACTTCATAGCTACAGCCCTCCTCAATTCAAGTGATTCTTAAATTTGGTCTCTTCATGTTGTCTCAGAGTCCTTGTATATTCTGATCATGGTTACTTATTTTATTTCTTTAATACTGTCTGAATGTTCAAAGAGAGCCACTTTGTCTACCACCTCTGAGATTCTGCCTTCAGCGTGGTTTACTCTATTAGAGAGATTTTTAGCTGAACATTTTGATTTATTTTGTCTTTCATTTCTAAGATTTCCGTTTGGTTCTTCTTCAGTATTTCTATCTTCTTATTGAATTTCTCATCCATATTCTGTACTGATTTTCTTAATTCACTCAGTTCTGTGTTCTCTTGGAATTCATTGATCATTTATAATGATTCTTTTGAATTCTTTATTGGAATTTCATCTACTACTGTGTTTTGTGGGTCATTTGCTTTAGGAGGTGTCATGTCAGCTTGCCTTTTCATATTTCTTATATTCCTGTGTTAGATTTTATGCAGCTGTTGGGGAGATTTCTCTTCCACTCTTATGTACAGATTTTTTTAGGGCATAGTCTTCCCTTGCCAAAGTGTCCTAGAGTGATCTGAATTGAGACCACTTTGTAGGTGTGTTGTCCACAGCCTTTGGGTTCTTTCTCTCTGTATGTGCTACAGCAGTGGATGTCCATAACTGGGACATGAGGGCCTGGTTGTTAGTTTGGGGTTTTGTGTCTTCAGTGTTTTGTATTAAAGTATAGTTGAAGATTGGGTGTCATTAATTTGTGAGTGGAACATGGTACACTGTCTTGTGGTTGTGTTTAATTCAGAGTTTCTACCCTGTGATCTTGTAGTGTCCCTATAGGTTCCCAGTACCTCACATAGGGTGAAACAAACAATAGCAACAACCAATGAAAATAATATACAGTATTAAACCAAATACTTGGTTCCTGCTATGACATCTGTAATGTTAATTGCCACAAAAACCAGAAAGGGTAGCATCAGCAATTGCCAACAGCAAAAATAAGTAACCATGAATTATTATCTGTCTTAAAGCAAACAGCAGGTGTCTACTATATATCCACAGCAGTAATAATTTCAACAGCATTAATGGTGGGACAGAATAACTTCTGTTAATAAACCAATTAGTGCTACAAGATGGTAATAATGCAGTTAATTAAGAGAAAGGAAGATATAATAGGAAAGTAGAAAAGAGTTCATAATTTCAGAAAATGATCAGATAGATGCAGAAGAGATGTAACATGGTTACATTATTTATATTAGATAATTTATTATAAGGAAGGAGGAGAAAATAGAAATAATAAAGTAAAGGTAGAGTGAGAGAATAATAGAATTTAGCCATTAGCAGAAAAAAGAGAGAGAAAAACAGATCAAATCAGTGAAAAACAATACCAATCTAAAAACCTAACCCTCGGAGGACAAGGCAAAGAAAAATAACTACATCTTAAAAATGCTGAAAATGAGGAAAAGAGAAACATGTATATGTATATATGTCCAAGACCCAGTCAGCACAGCAAAAACAAAACAACAACAATGAAAAGATCCTTAATGAAAAATTATGGAATCATCTCCGCTGAGATGGACAGAATAGTCAGTGGAAATAGTTGGACATTATCTGTGCCCAACTGTCTTTCCATTTCTTCTTGGGCTATGTACTAAGAGTGAGAGCGAGGGCTGGGGTTGTTACCTCTTCTTTTTTGTGTTGCTTTCCAAGCTGCCAGTTGTAGTGGMCTAATTCTGAAGCTGGTTTAAACAGTTCTCAGTTTCTCTTCTTTCCAGTATGAGGCAGGATGGGGTGGGAAGTAATGTCAGTTAGAGTTTTGTTTGCACAGATTGATGTACTTCCAGGGTGGGGCCACTGCAGAATTTTATGAGTGGAGTTCCAGTGCCTGGGTCTTAGGTCTAATCAGGCCTCAGGGGCTTTGCTGGCACAGTCTGCTCTGGAGAGATTAAATCCACACACCCCTTGGCYAGGCAGCTGCCAATCTCTGTTGGGAGTCTAGATCTCAGGAGCCTCCAGAGGATTCTACTGAAGGATTGGCTGTCCATGAATACAGCCTTTCCAGGCTTCCCAGGCTTAGTCCAAGTACATTCGCACCCGCATGGTTCAGATTCCAGCCCACTTCAGCTTGTCGTGTGAGCCACCAGACTCCTAGTTGGATTTCCTTTTGTTTTTCTGACTTGAATTCTCATTCTGCTAGGTATACCCTAGGCTATGCAGAAGGCACTGGCCGGGCAATGTAGCTGTGTTAGCTCAGATCTTCTGACTCCTATAGTGACAGCTGTAGCGAGACCACCTCAAGGTGGCTCCCACCTCAGCTCTCTGAGTCCAGTTGGAAAACAAAGGGCACTTTTCAAGCACCAGTGCACAGTGTAGCCTCTGGATCAGCTAAGGGCAGCCTGCTTTTCTGATYTCAGGTTTTTCCATATTAAATCTGTCCATTGTACTCTCTGTGCTAAATCAGCTGCTGCCCCAACCAACTTGGCTTCAATGTAGTCTGTTTCTTTGTTTAATGTATCTAATTTTCTGAGTCTCTAGGACACTCTAACTGTCCAATAATATTAAGTTTTAGTGAAATTCCTCTTTCACCCACYTCACAGAGAAGCAGTACCCCTGCTGCATTAATCCCCAGCCATATAGCACCTAGGAATGCAGTCTTCCTCTAGCCTGCCATCTGAATCCTCCGCACCCCACCTTAATTTCTTAGGTGATCTTTTAAGAAAAGTTAATATTATCACTGTCAGTAGATCAGGTACCACAGTGTGCAGGCACCCAACCGTCCCTTCATCTTGATGTCAGTGTCCACGATGGTTCATCCTTCTCCCACTGTCTCCAAGTTCTGTCTATACATAGTTACTAGTTACTCACCACCATGTTCAAATTCTCAGCCTCAATATTTGTTTTTCTTCTCCAAAATAATAAAAATTTTATCTTGGTGCTTAGAGAATTTACCTTTGCTTATTGTAAAATATTCATGTTACAAAAAATGCCAATCACATTAATTCCCACCACTCACAGATGACTAYTTAACATTTTAGTGACCATTCTTTGGAACATCTCTGATTGCCTTTTGTTCTTTAATTTTTACTTAATTTTTTAAAATCATAAACCCTTTCAGGATTCTAATAAATAGTAGAAAATGCTATTTTAAACCCCTTTTTAAAAAGTTTAAAATTTTATATATGATTTTTGAGGCTCAGAAACAACCTGAGCCCCTGCTTGGGACTGTGCTATTTAGCAGTGTGTCCTGGATACCTTCCCTTTAATTAATGAGTCTACACTGCACATTTAATGGCTGCCCAGTGTTCTGTATAAATATGCTATAATCACAGAACTATTGCTAGTGGGCATTTGTGTAGTGTCCTGCTTTGTAAATACTGTGGTCRTGAACATTCTTGTGAGGTCCTGTTTGGTCTGAAACCTGAAAGAATAGTTCACTTTCTCTCCAGGGAGCCTTCTTTAGTTGTAGTCATTAAGAYCTAAATTTAACTCCTTCCTAAAGGAAGAGAAAAGAAAATCCTACTTGGAAGACCGATCAGCATTCTGGTTAGGAACATGGGCTGTTGTAGGAGTGAGTGGAATACACATATGTGTGCACATGCACACTTCTTAGCTTTGCACAGGGGACAGCACACTATATAATACAGTGGYTTCCATTACTAATAGAAGTGACCAAACCTGAAGGTCACTGGAAAAATTAGCATTTGACTGGATGTCTTTTCAAAAGTCTGGTCTTTCCACCAGACTTAGAGTATCCCAATGACAGGAACCAAATTATAATTATTGAGCACCTTACTTAGACTAACATACTAGTGTCAAAGTAGATTGTTATCACATTCATGATGGTTGAATGGATCAGTTAAAAACTCACCAGTGCAAAAAAATCTAATTCTGAATGAATTTCAAGTAGTTTACATTTCTGGGGTGCTTTCAAAACAGTATGTGGACAGATGTTTCACATTTCAAAGAAAGATCCAGAAATGTGGTAATAACTGATTCAAGTTGTATGCTTTTAAAACTGGAAGGAGTGGTGTTTATTTTATTTTTTAGTTTGCTTCCTTGGATGTTTCCTTTTATTTTCTGGGCACATATGTGCACATTTGATGATGTGACTGAACACTGAAGAACAGAAAATTGACTAATACAACAGTAGAATTTGGTAGAGCATGTTCTCACTTCCCATGTGCAGGCCTTTATTTCTGAGTGGTTGTCCTTCTGACACATGCTGACTTGGGTTTCAGGTGCCATTACTGCAAGTCATCGTGCCACGTGTCTTCCCTCCGCATTCCGTATGCCTGCAAGCTGCTCTTCCAGGAGCTGCAGTCTATGAACATTATCCCCAGGTTAAAACTKTCCAAGTACAATGAATGAGATGGAGAAGGTGGGTGAGTGAAAGCAGTGGATGGTAAGTTTGATGCCATGGAAAGCAGAAGGGACTGAGAACTGTTTCTGAGAACGACTTCTGGGATTATTTTCTCTCAAAAACAAACAGAACTGATGGAGAAGCTTTGTTGTTCTAGAAGACTGACTAGACAGCCTTCATCAGTGAGCCCGGAGCCACGGGAGAAATGCTGATGACATGGACTGCAGTGCATTGGATCCACAGTGGACATGACCTAAAGGATAAATAAGCTTTTATTTATGATCTGTAGCTTGAAATCTACTCAGTAGAGAGACCTTACTCCTTAAAAAGAAAGTTTGGGTTTAAATTCCCCACGATATCTTCTGGTTAACAAAACTTAAGGTTCTCAGGAACCTTTGAGGATGAGAAGAATCACCTGAGTTCATTCCTGGACTCAAGTTGAGGTGTGTGATTGTGAGCAGGGTGTGGAGGCAGCAGGGCTGTGGGAAGCTGAGATGAATCCGTAAAGTGCTGGGTTTCTTATCTGGTTCTGTGAGGGGATAAATTTTCCCAACAATTAAATCTTGCCATCTCACGCCCAAACTTTGTGAAAAAAATTTACAAAAAAAATCTTGGGGAAATACAATAAATATATTCTTGTAAGCAGGAATATCACTTTTCTTATGGACCYAGTTGTACTATTTTGAACCTCAGTCATACCATAAAATAATGTTTATTAAATGTCTGAACAGAACTCCAGGAATGTCTTGTTATTTCCCGTCAGGATGTTAGTTGTCCAATCTCTTCTGCAGTTAGCCTTCCTCGCCCTGGTCTGTTTTGCTCTTAACTGCTCTGTCCTGAAGCTGGATAAATATTTTTTATGCCAAGAATTATTTATAAAATAGGAGTCTGAGAAGCTTTTAGAGATGGACTGGGGTGACATTCCCAATGTGTCATATTGAAAATGGCCCACACAGTGTTAATAAGTGTTATATACCAATAAGGATCAAGCTCCAGTGTCAAAATGAGGTTGAGGAACTATGTTAACCAAGTCAGACCTACCACAGGACCTTCTCAAAACCTGTAGCCATCTCAAGCTAATGAGTATTGGGACCTTCTGAAGGTTTGGGTTTAAATTCCCCAGGATATCTTGAGAACTCAGCCTCACCTTGTTTTCTTTGTGATCAGAGTGTAGAWGTCAGGAAGGCTCCACAGCCCAAGCAAAATGGAGGCTGCCATGTGAGTGAGCAGGCCTTCCTCAGCCTTGGCTTCAGGAACTGGGTAGGAGAAGSAGTTCATAGCCCACATCCTTACTGCACTGGCTGCTCCTTCTCTTAGATTGGCTTTATCGTTCTCAAAATTGATGGTGCAAAAAATGACTAATAATTGATTGTAATTGATATGTGCAGTCATGCTGTACTTTGTGGGCTATTTAAGGAGTCTTCTGGGTTGATCTTGACCATCTCCTATACTGAGGCAACAGCATTTCCCAACTCCACTGAAGACGCAGTGGTCCTGCCACSTGTGGCACATAAGATCCATGAATACTAGAGGGTCATTTGGAAAGAGCAGTGTCCTGGATACGGTACAAAGACTTCTGTCATTTAATCATCCAGTGATGTGCACTGGAGCAGGACATGACCTCTGCCTGAAGGAGCACGCACAGGAAGTCAAGACATGGCGGACAGTCACAGAGCATGAACGCACCCCTGCCTGTGGTCAGTGCTCCAGGAGATGTAGAAACTCCTCACAAGGGTCATTACCCCCTTCATACAAAAAAACCTTACCGACTCACTCTCCAGCACCTCACCACTAAGAAGGAGGGGCACAGGCTTCCTCACTTAGGGAGCTTTGTTTTGGTTTTGTCCATGGAGATATTTTTGAGTCAACAAAGGTGACTCTTTGTTTTTAATTCAAATACTACTAAGTGGTCATATTTCTTTCAGATGAACATTTCTTTTGGAAAATCATTTCAGGCCATTCTGACAATTTGGGGGAGAATCATCTATCTAACCTTGGAAATTCTAAGTTCTCTTAAGTTTCCAGGACCTAAAGAGAGGAAGGGATCCAAATGGAGATATCCTTAGGAGAAAAACTATCAGGTTGATATTTCAAAAACCAGCAGATACTATATTTGAATAGGTATTTGTCTCTAAGAAGTACTTTAGTAAAGAGAGAAAGAAGTCAAAACCAGTGAGTTCATTCTACTACAGTTTTTTTTTTTAAGGTTTTTGTAAGGTCCTTGTTTTCAAAACTACCAGTTATATTGCCATCACCAAGAGTCTGTGACCCTGACATGAGCTTTGGCAGGATCATGGCACTGGAAAGACAAAACTGTGGGCTATAAGTGGCCAGGATCCCAGACAGAAAGCTCACTGAGGGGAGCCCAGCTTCACCATTTTTCCCCTTAATTTGTCAGCGTGGGCTGTCATAGCAGAATATCACAAATGGAGAAGCTTAAGCAACAGAATGTGTCTGCTTATTATTGTTCAGGCTCAAAGACCAAGATGCTGACATCAGCAGGCTGGGTGTCTAGTGAGGCTCTTCCTGGCCTCTGCCAGCCACCTCTCCACTGCATCTTCACAGAGCTTTTTCTTGGTGCACACTCGAGAGCACGTGGAGGGCCCTCCCTGCCCCCACCCACCCCAGTACTGGATTGAACCCAGGCCACTTGGTAGAGAGGTAGAGCTACATGCCCAGGCCTTGTTATTTTTTATTTTGAGACAGAGTCTTGATAAATTGCCAAGGCTAACCTAAAACATGTAATCCTCCTGCCTCGGGCTCTGAGTCACTGTGTTACAGGTGTATGCMGCTGTGCCCAGAGGATTCTCCTACCGGTCCTATTGACTTAGGGTCTCACTCTTTTAACTCCATTTATCCTTAATTAGTTCCTTAAAGGCCCTGTTTCTCCAAGTACAGTCACACTGGGGATTAGGGCTTCAATATGAATTTTAAGGAAACATAGATGAATCCATTATACCCCTCAAGACATTTCCCAATTCATAAAACACAGACTAAACTGTTGACAGGACCTTTTTAAAAATTTGTTTTATTTGTTCTAATTAGTTGTACATGACAGTAGAATGCACTTTGTCACATTGTACACACATGGAGCATAACTTCTCATTTCTCTGGCTGTACCTGGTGCAGAGTCATACCAGTAGGGTAACATACATGTATATAGGGTAGATATATACATGTATGGTTATATATCTGTCTCATTGTACTGTCCTTCAGCCCCACCTCGCCTTCACTCCCCTCTGCAAATGGACAATATCTTTTAAAGATGAACATATTCACAGTTCCATTTGTAGGTATGAGCCCAGCAGAAATATGTGTTATCATCAGTCAGTGTGCACAAAYGAATGTTTCTAGCAGCATTATTTGTGTTTCTCTGCTTTTGGAAAGAACCCCTTCCATTAACAATAGAATAAATTGTGGTGTATCAATACAATGGAATATTACACTGTGATGAAAACGAATTGTGCTACATACAATATTGTAGATAATCTAGCAAATATAGTATTGAGAAAAAAGTCAAGAAAATGCATACTATATTGATTCCTTTTAAGTTCAAAAATGGACAAAATTAACACATAARAAGCCATGAATAAATAGCTTTCTGTGCAGAATGGGCTGATGACTGAGAGGGTACAAGAGGGACTTCTAGAGTACTGATAATATCTTTTTGTTTTGTTTTTTTTTAATCAGAGTATTGATCACATGTGTTCCTCATCTTATGAAAATGCATTAAGTTGAGTACACTCAGGATTTTTCACTTTTCTCAATTTAGGCAACTAAATGGTTAAGAATACTCATTCTAAACCTGTGCTTTAGTCTTTTCATTTCACAAATGTGTTGTCCCAAATATAACATGGTGGTTTTGTTCCCTTGGTTTTCCATCTTCAGAATAGCAGAATAATAGTACCAATACCTCAGGCCTTTTTTAAGTTCAAGGGCTCAGCTCAGTGCCCAGCACAGCGGGCATTAGAGGATGCCCGTGGTTGTTTTCGTTGRTAGCAGTAATCATCTCCTACGGCTTACTAACAGGACTGCTCTTGAGCCCTCTTCATCAGGCCAGAGTTCGAGCAGGCAAACCCAAGTTCCTTTGGAGGAGGGAGTTTGGAAACTAGGAGCAAAGGCAGAAGCCACAGGGCTTTGCCGGTGCTCTCTGGGAAAACCTCCCTGCTTAGCATTGCGGGGAGGAAGAGGGTGGTGGAATTAGAGAGCACACTTCCCTGGAACAACCATTTACCACTGACATCAAAGGAGGCCTGCTGTGGGCCCACAGAATCAGTTCTCAAAACGCTTCCATGTGGGGAGAGTTGAGGAAAGGGTTTTAAAATACAAAGYCCTTGATTGGGTGCTACATAATGGGATAGTTTTCAGCTGCTTCAGAGTGTTTGGGGTAACACCTTTATTTGCAGTAATGAGTCATATGAGAGGGAACACATCAGGGCTGGTGGCTGGGCCCATCCATTCTTGCCCTCTGAGTAAGAGAGAAGCCAGTTTCTGAGAGACCTGTAAATAATTCCTTTGTAAAACGGATGGTCAGAAAAGTGACTGTAAAAATAGCACCTCTTTACTGTCCATATTTACTCCATATGTGTCGTAGGAACAGTGCATTTCATTTGTTGACTGAAAGTTGAGTTTTTACTGCCCCAGCCCACAGGGCCAAGATTGGTGGGATGTTGAAGTCACCTTTTGAGGAGGTTTCAAAGGGGGTGGGGGAGCTCCTAAAAGTTTGTTACCTAAGCGGAGCTACCAGTTTGATTTTAGACATGGGCCCCAGAAGTAATTAAATAAAATTTGTGTTCAGGCTATCTTGGCAGAAAATTTCAATATGACCTGGAAATCACATTTGCTCTCACAAGTCTCTCGTCTCACACCAGGTCGAGAGTTAAAGTATTTTTCCAGTCCAGGTAATAACCGTGGTTCCATGCATAATAAAGTTTAAGTCTACTTTACTCCCAACTGTCCACATTCATGGAAGCACAGAAAGGTGTGAATAAATTAAAGCAGATGATGGGCCCCAAATCCTTTGTACTGGATGTTGGGATGGAGTTTGCACTCACACTTTTAAAGGAACTTATGTGGCAGGTTGGTGGATTTGCCATCCTTCAAATAGTGACTCCTGTGAACACTTGATTTGAAGAGACTGGGATAAAAATGACCTTTATGGTTAAGTGATGGTGACAGATCTCTGGAAAGGTGGGACAGGCTGACAGCTGGGATGCTTGTAGACCAGTGGTTCTCAAAGTGTGGTCCCTGGGCCAGAAGCAGCAGCATCACCTGCAATRTTTTGGGTCTCCTCCCCAAACCTACCAAGAAACTGCAGGTGGACCCCAGAAATCTTGTTTAAAAAAGCCCTTCAGGGGACTCCAGTGCAGCCTAAACTTTGAGATGGAGGGTTGTGAACTAGAAGAGCTTTGAGTCCCACCCTCGTTTACAGCCAGCCTTTGGGGCCTTAGGGTACCAAAGTGACCCCCTGGAAACTGGCTCCCTGCTCTTTTCCCCTTTTTTGCTGGGCACAACTTCCCCTTAAGCTGTATTGGACTCTCCCACCYTCGCATGCCTCATTTCACCCTTGAGCAAGGGCCTGAAAGGCCTTTGTCAGTCTGCCCTGTCCCTCCTCTGCTGTGAAGGTCTGTGCGCACGGCATTGGCATGGAGCCAGATCCACATAGGTTCATTCCTCTGTGGCAGCCCGGCGTGGGCTCCTCCCTTGTGCTGTCTGGTTTCTGACTCTCCG